CGCAGCAGTATGGTGTTGCTGAGCGCCGCATTGGCTTGGTCATGGAGGTCGCTCGTACCTCCATGATCCATGCGGCTGCCCCCCATTTTCTGTGGCCGTTTGCAGTCCGGTACGCCGCGCATTAGCTCAACCTTTGGCCCCGTGTCTCCTTGCCGGAGACCTCGCCCACACTGCTGTGGACGGGGAAGGTTGGCGATGCGTCGCGTTTCCGAGTCTGGGGTGCTCGTGCCTTTGTCCGCGATACCACCGCGGACAAGCTCTCCCCTCGCGCCATTCCTTGCGTCTTCCTTGGCTTTGTCCCTGACGCGCCTGGCTGGCAGTTTTACGACCCCGCCTCGCGCCGTGTCTTTGCGTCTCAGGACGTCACCTTTGACGAGTCCGTCCCCTTTTACCGCCTCTTCCCCTACCGCACTGCTCCCCGCCCCCCCCCCGCCGCTCTTTCTCGCCCCAGGTCCTCCCCAGGTAGACCCCCTCCCCGCGCCAGGTCCTGCTCCTTCAGGTGTCTCTCAGGTAGACCCCCCTGCGCCTGCGCCTGTTGAGGTCACTGGTGTCTCCGGTCCTACTGCGAGTGGTGCTGTCCCTGGGGGTGCGGAGCTTGGGGGTGCTGAGTCTGGGGGCGCTGAGCGTGAGGAGCCTGGAGGTGCTGCGTCTCGTGGTACTGCGTCTGGAGGTGCTACGTCTGGGGGTGCTGAGCCTGTGTGTGCGGAGTCTGGGGGTGCTGAGTCTGGGGGTGAGTCGCCCGAGGGTTCTGAGACTGCTGTTACGCGGTCTCCTTGGAGTAGCCGTCTTCGTCCGCGTGTGCCCCTCACCTCCCAGCAGCTGCACGACTGGTACGGTCGCCGTCAGCGTCGCGCTTCTGCACCTCAGGACTCTACTGCTGGGGGTTCTTCTGCTGGTGTCGCTGGTCCCGGAGGTGCTCGTACTGGGAAAACTGGAGCTGCTGGGGCTGGTGGTGGTGCTGCTGAGGGTACTGGAGCTGCTGGAGCTGCTGGAGGTACTGGAGCTGCTGGAGGTGCTGGAGCCGCTGGGGGTGCTGGAGCTGCTGGAGGCGCTGGAGCTGCTGGAGGTGCTGGAGCTGCTGGTGGCACTGCTCAGCAGCGCCTGTTCTTTGCTCCGCCGTCTTCGTCGTCTCAGCCACCACCTGACTCTGCACTTCGCCAGGTTCTCAGTCTTCCCTCGTCTACTGGTCTTCCGTTACAGCCTGGCTCACCGCTGCCTGCTCCTTCTCCGTACACAGAGCAGCCTGGTGGCCTTGCAGAGCGTCGTGAGCCTGTGTCGCGTCCTGTCTCCCCTGTGAGTCCCGGTCGTCGTGTTCCTCGTCAGTGCCAGCCGGCTCTCTCCGGCCCTCCCCTTGTAGTTCGTCGTCCTTCCTCTCCTTCACCGCGTGTTCCTCTGCCGCCTCCCCCTGCGTCCTCTCTGCCTGTCATTGCTGACCCTGCGTCTGACCGGTTTCGTGCTGAGCACTCTACTGTCACGCGTCTGCTTGCCACTGTTGTCACTGACCCGTCGTTTGAGTCTGCTGCTGCATCTGCCTTAGTCACTGAGCTTGTTGCCTTTGCTGCTCACTGTCGTCTAGACTACGCCGCCGGTCTTGTTGCTGAGTCTGCGTCTGTCTGTCCTCCGTCCGTCGGGGGTGAGTGTGCTCTTGGCACGGACGTCCTTGAGGACAGGCAGGAGGACCTTGAGTGTCTTGCAGCTGCTGCGCCTCATCTCGTATCCATGCTGCTTGCCCCTGAGGGAGACCCGGATGCACCAGACATCCCTACCCCGCGCTCTTACGCTGAGGCGATCGTGGGTGAGTACTCCTCTCGGTGGCAGACAGCCATGGATGCAGAGATGGCATCCTGGAAGTCCACAGGCACCTACGTCGACGAGGTTCCCCCTCCTGGGGCGAACATTGTCAGTGGCATGTGGATTTTCAGGGTGAAGCGGCCGCCAGGTTCTCCGCCTGTCTTCAAGGCTCGTTACGTGGCTCGAGGCTTCAGTCAGCGAGAGGGAGTTGATTTCTTCCAGACCTTCTCCCCCACCCCGAAGATGACCACTCTTCGGGTGCTGCTGCACGTTGCCGCTCAGCGTGACTACGAGCTTCACTCTCTTGACTTCAGCACAGCCTTCTTACAGGGCAGCCTGCACGAGGAGATCTGGCTGCGCCGCCCTCCTGGCTTCACTGGGTCGTTCCCTCCTGGTACCCAGTGGAGCCTCCGGCGGCCGGTCTACGGTCTCCGCCAGGCACCACGTGAGTGGCACGACACACTGAGGACGACACTTGCGGCTCTTGGGTTTGCTCCGTCGACTGCTGACCCGTCGCTGTTTTTGCGCACCGACACTTCGCTGCCGCCGTTCTACGTTCTCGTGTACGTCGACGACTTGGTCTTTGCCACTGCTGACACGGAGGCTCTCGCCCTGGTGAAGTCGGAGCTGCAGAAGAGACACACGTGCACAGACCTGGGTGAACTGCGCAGCTACCTTGGCTTGCAGATCACCCGGGACAGAGCACGCCGCACCATCACACTGACTCAGTCGCACATGGTGCAGCAGGTCCTTCAGCGCTTCGGTTTCACCTGGTCCTCAGCACAGGCCACTCCTCTGGCTACAGGTCACTCGCTCTCAGCTCCACCTTCGGACGAGTCCGTAGAGCCGAGTGGTCCTTACCCAGAGTTAGTAGGCTGCCTCATGTACCTGATGACTTGCACTCGTCCTGACCTTGCGTACCCTCTTGGCCTTCTGGCTCGCTACGTGGCTCCTGGTCGGCACCGAAAGGTGCACATGGATGCTGCCAAGAGGGTACTACGCTACTTGTGCAGTACATCGGGCATGGGGCTCGTGCTTGGAGGCCCGGGGTGACGTTGTCCTCACTGGTCACTCGGACGCCTCTTGGGTTGACGACCAGGCTACGCAGCGGTCGTCACAGGGTTACACCTTCAGCCTTGGCTCTGGTTCAGTTTCTTGGCGTTCCACACGCTCGTCTTCAGTTCTCGGCTCCAGTTGTGAGGCTGAGATCTACGCCACAGCCATGGCTGCACAGGAGCTTCGCTGGCTCACCTACCTGCTGACTGACTTGGGAGAGCGGCCTCGTTCTCCTCCAGTGCTGTACGTCGACAACAAGGCCGCCATTGCCTTGTGTCAGGAGCACAGACTGGAGCACAGAACGAAGCACATCGCTCTCCGTTACTTTCTTGCTCGAGAGCTGCAGCAGCGTGGCCAGCTTCGTCTTACCTACGTGGCCACTCGGGCCAACACTGCTGATATATTCACCAAGGCACTTCCGCCTGGTGATCATCAGTGTTTCTGCACTTTGTTAGGCCTTGTGCCCACGCTTCCTCACTTGCTGTAGGCTTTGTTTGTACCATGATTTATATGTATTCCTGCATGCTTGTTCTTGTAGGTAGATTTCACTGTACTGTTGTTGTTACATATATATATCTGCATGTGAACTGGCCTTGTGGCCTTCTTGCTTGTGCTCAGACTGCGTGGTGACGTTGTGATCCACCCTGAGCTTGCTTTGCACTTCCTAACTGGTCTTGTGACCCTCTGTTCTCCCCCACTCTGCCTATGGGGGTGTGTCAAACATATGTATAGCTACCGTATGTTATATTTTGGGTAGGCTTAGTGGGGTACACACTGTAGGGTACAACCCCTTAGGCTGATTTCCATTGTACCATCCATCTCGATAGTCGACACCCATTGATGCCTAGCTTCTAAGAGAAATTTCCGAGAAACTTCGCCCCGATAACATCGCATTCAGGGTCCACAGGCCTCATACTCTGTATTGACAGGGTCCGTGAAAACCCTACACTGAGAGTGTACACAAAATTTCAGGGTCCGCTAAAGCAATACTCTGAATGGATCAGGGACCAAAATGTGAAAAACCTGATTTCTCAGGGTCCAGAAAGTGACAAGTCTGAAATCACCCTGAAATCAGGGTAATTACCCTGATAAAATCAGCCCTGCTCGCGCCAGCGTAGCACTAGCTAGCTCGCACGCACCGCGTAACCGTTGCATGTTTTCGCACATAAGTATTCGCTCATGCCTTCGCTCATACTTTGTACTCATTGAACACTCTTGTGCAATCCTCGCTACCTCGATTCATTGCACCCGTAACATAACCTCTTTTCTTCTAAGCCGGTACCGGTATCACCACCATACGCTATACAGTAATGCTTATTTCTGGTATAAACTTGTCAGCACCTCGTAAGTTGTAATTGGTTGTCAGATTTTCCAAAATTTCTCATGAACCAACGTGGTTGTCCGTGTTATGCGCTGGACTACGCAGATCCGACTCGAACCGCATACCATGAAACTAGAACTTCACGCGATTCGCCTTCCTCAGCTTCTGGAGGCGGTTTGACGGAGATTTCTGTCAACTCAACATCCATGGAAATTCGTGCGTCGAAATTCGTGCCCCTACCACCAGAACCAAATTTCTGCTTCATCCTCCAAAAATGCTTGTGGCCCCGCCGCAAGAATGACCCTCCTGCGTGATGCATGCTTCATGGCCGATTTACCCTTGACCAAGCACAAAGACTGACAGCTTGCGCTGGACCAACCTGTACGAACAGCTATGGTCGGGTGGTTTAAAGCTTTTGTATACATTTGAAAAAGGGAGGTTCAAAAGTTTTGAAATTTGAAAGATTGGTAACCCAGCAACAGCTAGTTTCACTCGCTTCATAAGGGAGGTGATCTCCCCGACACCCAGGGCTCACAGGTGATTCAAAACTTTTGGAATAACAAAAGTAGACGAAATCCAGTCCATGTGAGATCTACGCCACTACGCTCAACAGGCAGCATAAACCGTAGCTAAGCACATCGCGACTCAACAGCCAGCGCAAACCACTCCCGTTTCAGACACAAACTTAGACGCGTGGGGCAGTTTAGTGTAATTACACGTCCGAGCCAACGTCAGTTCCGCCCTCTGACACGGCGAGCCCGCCGGACCTCCTCTCACAGCCTCGCCTCGTCGTCCGTCGCGTCGCCTCACCACGCGGCCTCCTCACGCCACCATGAACGCGCACGCTGCGTCTCAAACTGCCGAACACAGTCCTCACAGTCGCCGCCCGATCGCGCGGCCTCGCTACCGCGTTTCCGCAGTAGCGGCGGCAGCCGCAATTGAGGTCGTGAGGGTAATCAGAAACGACTGCTCCCCGTTTCCCCTTCGCGCCTCCCCGTTTCCCCTTCCCGCCTCCCCAATTCCCCTTCCCGCCGCCCCATTTCCTCTTCCCGCTCCCCATTACCCCTTCGCGCCTCCCCATTTCCCCTTCCCGCTCCCCATTACCCCTTCCCGCCTCCCCAATTCCCCTTCCCGCCACCCCATTTCCTCTTCCCGCTCCCCATTACCCCTTCCCGCCTCCCCGTTTCCCCTTCCCGCCTCCCCGTTATCCCTTCCCGCCTCCCCGTTTTCCCTTCCCGCTCCCCATTACCCCTTCGCGCCTCCCCATTTCCCCTTCCCGCCTCCCCAATTCCCGTTCCCGCCACCCCATTTCCTCTTCCCGCTCCCCATTACCCCTTCCCGCCTCCCCGTTTCCCCTACCCGCCTCCCCGTTACCCCTTCCCGCCTCCCCGTTTTCCCTTCCCGCTCCCCATTACCCCTTCGCGCCTCCCCGTTTCCCCTTCCCGCCTCCCCAATTCCCCTTCCCGCCACCCCATTTCCTCTTCCCGCTCCCCATTACCCCTTCCCGCCTCCCCATTACCCCTTCGCGCCTCCCCGTTTCCCCTTCCCGCCTCCCCAATTCCCCTTCCCGCCACCCCATTTCCTCTTCCCGCTCCCCATTACCCCTTCCCGCTCCCCATTACCCCTTCCCGCCTCCCCGTTTCCCCTTCCCGCTCCCCATTACCCCTTCGCGCCTCCCCGTTTCCCCTTCCCGCCTCCCCAATTCCCCTTCCCGCCACCCCATTTCCTCTTCCCGCTCCCCATTACCCCTTCTCGCCTCCCCATTACCCCTTCCCGCCTCCCCGTTTCCCTTTCCCGCCTACCGATCCTCTCTTCCTACCAGCCCATCTCCCTCACATTATCTGCACTCTCCTCTCTCCTACCCTCTTATCACCTTCCGTGCTTTTTGTACCATGTCCTGAACCCCGCCATCCAGTGGCGTGTCCTTGAAGCTATCGCCACTCCGTTGCTGCAAGTGCTGCTGAGGCCGAGTGCTCGAAGTTTGTGCGAGCAAAGGCCAGCACTGGGAGGGACCTTGCCTCTTAGCTCCTCGCTTCCTGCACTTCGTTATCTGCGCGTGCTCCTCCCACCTCCCCGGGCGGGCTCTTCTAGCCGACCCGCCACCCTATCTCTCCCCTTCCCTCTCCCTGCCTATGCACCTCCTATCCCTGCCTATGCACCTCCTATCCCTGCCTATGCATCTCCTTTCCCTACCTATGCATCTCCTTTCCCTACCTATGCATCTCTCGTCCTTGCCTTCACATCACCCCTCCATGCCCTCGCAACCATCTCTCCCGCCTCCCCTACCTGCCTTCAAAACCCTTCTTTCACCTGCCATAACTTTTCATCCACTCCCATCCCCTTCAAGCCCCTCCCATCCCATTCCCCTTCCAGTCCCTCCCATCCCATTTCAAACCCTTCCATTCCCCTTCCAGTCCCTCCCATCCCATTTCAAACCCTTCCATTCCCCTTCCAGTCCCTCCCATCCCATTTCAAACCCTTCCATTCCCCTTCCAGTCCCTCCCATCCCATTTCAAACCCTTCCATTCCCCTTCCAGTCCCTCCCATCCCATTTCAAACCCTTTCATTCCCCTTCCAGCCCCTCCCATCCCATCCCCTTACAGCCCCTCCCATCCCCTTCCAGCCCCTCCCATCCTTTGCAGGTGACGAGGATAGGGTTGAAAATGATGAGGATGAATGTGACATTGAGGGGTGCGAAAGAGAACGGGAATTGCCCATCGAGATAGATTTTGCAATGAGGGCGTGAGATGCATGTGCATACGATTAGCCACGTGCATGGTACTGAAGAAAATCGGTCTCATAATATTTCTCTTTTATGTATTTAGTGACATGGTTGCGAGGAATCGTTACATCAAACTTGATAAAGTCCAGATAGCTAAATGGCCATAAAAGTTCCTAATATCGTACGGCAAAGCGAGCTCGACAACACACAGTTGGAAGTGTATGCATGCTTGTTGAATCACAATTAGAAGCCGTCAACTAAGCAAGGAGATGCCGCACATGCTGCCTGCTGCTGTTGCATGCCTGGCATTGGTGTGCAGCAGATGGGAGCGAGACAGTGTGGGCCGCTTGGTAGACCTGTTAGTGAGAGGAGTGGGGGGAAAATGAGACGGAGGGAGGGGGCGAGGAAGGGGGAAAAGTGGGCACATATGACAGAGCTCAATCTAAGCCTGGAGAATTGCAAGTGGGGAAAGGAAAGAAAGTAATGAGGGGGAGAAAGAGCAATCCAGTGCACACAAGATACACATTACCTGACCGGCATGCAACCCTAAGAGATTTCCTACCATGCATGCCTCACCATGCCACCCCAGGAACACACAGAGTGCCATTAGTGATTCAAGTGGCATGAAAGACTGTTTGTGTGTGAGCTCGAAGGCAAGCGATGTAATGCGCACAGTACCTGCGGGGTTTGAAACGGGGGTCCAAAGAAGGGCATGAGTATAGCCCTCTGCACCATCTGCCGCTGCAGCCTCCTCACCTCCTCCTCCTCCCTCTCCCTCCGCCTCTCTTCCTCATCCCTCCTCGCCTGCTCCTCCTGCTGCTGCTTCAGTGCCACCTGATCACGTCATTGCAAAGAGGAGAGGGAGGCATGGGAAACCGAGGTGAGAGGGAGCAGTTGCAATGCACATTGAACTTGGATGCACATCAATCAGCAGGCACACGCACACCTAGCATACGCTGATCCGCCCGCGCCACACCTGATCCCGCCCTCACCTGCATGTCGTGAACATGCACAGCATCCGGACACGTGAACTGAGAGGTAGAAAGTGGGGGACATGTGGGGGAGAAGGGGGGAAAATGAGAGGGTGCAGGGGGGGAAATGATGGTGAGCAAAGGGAAAATGAGAGGGAGCAAGGGTGGAAGTGTGAGGCGGCAAGGGTGGAAATGAGAGGGAGCAAATGTGGAAGTGAGAAGGAGCAGGGGGCAAAATGAAGGGGAGCAGTGGGGGAAATGAGAGAGGGAGAAGGGGGGGAAATGAGGGCGAGAACGGGGGTAGATGGGAGGGAGAAGGGGGGGGGGGCTGAGAGGGAGCAAGGGGGGAAATAAGATGGAGCAAGGGCAGAAATGAGAGGGAGAAAGGGGGGAAGTGAGGGGGAGAAGAGGGGGGGGATGAGAGGGAGCAAGGGGGGAAATGAGGGGGAGAAGGGGGGGGATGAGAGGGGAAAAATGGGGATTTGAGAGCGAGAAGGGGGGGAAATGAGGGGGAGAAGGGGAGGGGGGTAATGAGAGGGAGAGGGGGGGGAAAGGAGAGGGAGAAGGGGGGGACATTTGGGGGAGAAAGGGGGGAAATGAGAGGGAGAAGGGCGGGAAATGAGGGGGAGAAGGGGAGGAAATGAGAGGGAGAAGGGAGGGAAATGAGAGGTGTTGGTGCAACCCTACGGTTTGCACTCGGCTTGTTGTCCGTGTGCGTGAATGTGTGTGTGTATGGAATGGTATGAGGGCATGGGATAATATATATTTCATGCTTATAATTGTGTGTGAATGTTGAGTCATGATGTCGAGAGTGTGTGTCGAGTCAATAGCGAGTTATCGCTAGACGCGTGTTACGCGGTCGTTTGTGTCTCGCGCGCGGTTTCTATTTTGTCGTGCGCGGTTTCTATTTTGTCCTGTGTCGAACGTTCGGCGTGTCGCAGGTGTGTGCAGCAGACCCATCAAGAACTCAAGGATGAGTTTGTGATGAAGAGCCCGAGCCTTGGTGTCAAGCCTCAAGTGATTTCGAAGCTCGCCAAAAGGGTGCACCTCAAGATATTGAAGATAGTTACATTACTTTGTGTAGTGTAACATTTCACTTGGTGTAGGCCCTAGTGAAGGGTAGTTTCGAGACCCTTCGTGGTTGGGGACAGTGTGGCACTGTTCCACATCACTGTACCTCGGCTCTTGGGGTTTGTAGGAGCTGGGAGTCATTCCCAACTCGTAACTCTTCCTATCTTGTGTTCTAAGACTATAGTGGCTGCCATAGTACCGTTCGTTCAAACCGACGCTGTGTCGTCAATTCTTTATCAAATCGTGCAATCTAAATTGCTAATTGTAGACGACGTGAAGACGCTCCAGATCCAATTTGAATCAAGTCATTTGCAGCTGTGAGCAGAACGCTATCAACGTTTGAAGCCGCTGTGCAGAAATCCGTCTGTGCTCTCTATCTTTCGTTTTAGGCACATTCAAGCCTATTGTGACTATAACAAGTGGTATCAGAGCCCCTTGGAGCAGTTTCGACAATGTCTGGACCTGAGGAAAGGGGTGGCAGAGGTGCTGGTGGCAGTGGAGAAGCTCAAGCTCAAGGCCAACCCCGTGATTCAGCCATGGCGCCCATGCAACCAAGTCTTGGCCCACCTAGGGATGAGCCTAGGGTGTTTGGGCTTGACAAGTTCAACGGTGACAACTTTGCTGAATGGTCCTTCAAGATGGAGAACATCTTTGACCACTATGACCTGCTGGAGGTGATGGAAGTAACGGAGAAGCGCCCCGAGAACGACCCGGAGAAGAGCCCGTGGGTGCGGAAGAGCGCACAAGGCTATCTCTTACTTGGGCAAGCGTTGGGGAGCAGTCAGATCCGTCACATCAAGCCATTCCAGCGTGAACCAGAGAAAGGACCAAAGGCATGGGCTGCTCTCAAGGGTGTACATGCTCCTGCAACAGCGGCGGTAGCGGTGGTGTTGGAACGGCAAATGGCGGCACTACGAATTGAAGAAGACGAAGCGGTTGAAGAAGGGGTGCAGAAATTCTTCGACTTGTTGACGCGGCTTGAGGGAGCTGATTTGAACTACAGTGAGCTCCAAAAGAAGACCAAGTTGCTGGCCTTACTCCCAGAGTCATGGTCCTCGCTCATCATCAACCTTAATCGCGACTTGCCCCGCCTCTCGCTTGAAGACGTGAAGCGAGCTATCCTTCAAGAGGATTTCCGCCGCCGTGAGTTGGCGAGTGCGGATGGCGCTGGGGCAGCGAGCATCGGCCGTGGATATGGTCGAGGAAGAGGCAGAGGACGAGGGGGAGGAAGGTTTGGTGGCAGCAACTTCGGCGGAGGCCGCAGGAGTGGCGGTTACGGCAGCGACGACAAGAGCTACGGACGCGGTCGCGGCCGATTCGACGGCGAGTGTCACTATTGCCACAAGAGCGGACACATGTGGCGCGACTGCTACAAACTCCCTGATGGTTGGACCCCTGCTCAAGGCCAAGAGGGTAGAGGAGCAGGAGGAGGGAGAGGACGAGGCCGTGGAGGCCGTGGCGGTCGCGGTGGCGGAGCTGCAAACATGAAGAGCGGAGACAACGACAAGGACCCGAGCGACGATCGATACCCGGGTCTATTCTACTTCGTGTCGACGCAAGTACCGGCTGGTCCAGAGAAGGATGAAGGCTTTGAGGAGCCAGCAGCTGTGGGGAAGGTGACCCTACACCCCCAGGACTATTGGGTGATTGATAGTGGCGCTACCTATAGCATGACACCTCGCCCGGACTTGCTCACCGAACTCGAGCCGTCACCGGTGAAGCATGTCACATCGGCTTTGGGGCAGCGAGCAGAGGTGAAAGGCATGGGCAAGGCCATGTTCAAGGGTGCTGATGGGAAGATGGTGGGCCTCAAGAACGTGCTTTGGGTGCCCAGCCTTGCTGCAAACCTGATTTCCGTGCGGCGGTCGGCAAAGGCCGGCATGGACACGAACTCGAAGGGAGCCAAGACCTACACCGCAAGGCTTGGCGATCGAATTCTTTGGGACCTTCATGAGGACAGGGATGTCTACAACGAGATGTGGCAGATCCCAGTGGTCCCTATGCCTAAGGAGAGGCAAGTGGCAGCAAGCATCAGCACCAAGGATGGAGCGGTCGGTAGCGACGATGGCGCGAACGGTCGCGCTAAGGAGAATGAGCTCAAGAAGAGCAAACCTGGAGGGACCAGCAAGTTCAGTGAACCTAAGGAGAGTGGTGCAGCAACCAAGGAGCAGCAAAAGGGTGAGGAGAACCCAGAGGCAGCAGCGGAGGAGGACTACGGAGAGAGTATGTGGGGCGCTATTGCGAGCGCGGCATTCTCCAATCCAACTTCGGCTACGGGGGAGTGTGATTGGCTCACCTTGCATCGGCGCATGGGGCATGTGGCCCTGCCCATCTTGCAGCAGCTAGTGAAGAATGAGATGGTTGCTGGCATACGTGTGAAGGGGGAGCCCGATGAGGTGCTTGGCTGCCCGACGTGCATTCAAGCCAAGTTCACCCGGTTTCCGTTCCCTAGTTCGGAGGCAACGGCGAAGGCACCGCTTGATGAGGTGGTGATGGACGTGGTGGCCCCCCTGAAGCTTGGAGCTGCTGGAGCTGAGTATTTTCTCACCATTGTCGACGTCTACACCCGCATGACTTGGGTGTACGTGCTGGCCAAGAAGAGCGACGTGGATGAAACGTTGAAGACGGATTGGTTCCCGATGGTGGAGCGGCAACAAGACCGTCTAGTCAAGTCAATCCGCACCGATCGAGGGGGAGAGTTCCTGAGCAAGGAGTTTGGGTTGTGGCTGAAGAAGAATGGTATTCGGCACTCCCTCACCATGCCATACTCCCCTGCAATGAACGGCATCGCCGAGCGAGCGAACCGCACAATCACGGAGGCGGCACGCGGGTTGCTCATTGAAGCCGGGCTACCCGACTATTTCTGGCCTGATGCGGTGCGGAGCGCGTGTGTGGCCAAGAACAGAGCCTTGACTCATGTGGGAGCAGACAAATGGGTGCCCTATGTGGAGTGGCTAGGAAGGAAGCCAAAGGTGGATATGCTTCGGGTGTTCGGGTGCATGTGCATGGCGCTCGTGCCTAAGCATCTTCGGCACAACAAGCTTGGTGCCAAGGCGGTGTGGGCCGTGCACTTGGGCATGGCTCAAAACAGCAAGGGATGGCTTCTTTGGGACCCATTCACCAAGAAGTTCTTGGTGAGCAGGGACTGCAAGTTCATGGAGAACTTCATGTACAAGGATTGGAAGGCGGAGAATGAGGCGAAGATAGGCGTGCGGTTTGGGGAGGTGAAGAGTTCCGGTTTGGAGCATGTGGAGCTGCCTTTGGAGCTGAGCAGCGGCAGCACAACCACAAGGCAATCCTCCCTTGTGAATGGGGGAGAGGAGGCCAATGATGCAGAGGAAGAAGAGGAGGAGGTGCAGCAAGTGAGCGAGCGTGCACCGTCACTCCCTTCCCGTACTACGAGTGCTCCACGGATTCGAGCCACACCGCAGCAACGCCAAGGCCTTCAAGTCCCTGCAGCTGAGGAGGAAGGAAGGGGGAAGAGGAGAGTTCAACCCTCTAATAGGCTGACCTATGATGCGCCGGGAAAGCAGGGCAAGACAGCCCTGGCCGGAGCGGCAATGATGGTCGGAGACGATGAGGAGAGTGACTACGAGGAGTGTGCCTTCGCGTTCTTCTCTCCGGTGGAGATGCCGGGAGAACCAGCAACTCTCAAGGAGGCTTTGGAGAGTAGTGATGCTGAGGAGTGGAAGAAGGCCATGGAGAGTGAGCTGAAGAGCATCGAGGAGAATGACACGTTTGAATTGGTGGAGCTACCGGAGGGGCGTACGGCGATAACGTCCAAGTGGCTCTTCAAAATCAAGTCGGATGCCGACGGCAAGATCGAGCGCTACAAGTCTAGGCTTGTAGCCAAGGGGTACCAGCAGAAGGAGAAGGTGGACTTCAAGGAGCTGTTTGCCTCTGTGGTGAAGCCGACGACGCTGCGAACCCTATTCGCGGGAGCCGCCATCAAAGGATGGGTAGTAAAGCAAATGGACATCGTAACGGCATTCCTTAACGGCATCCTTGAGGAGGAGATTTTTATGGCGCAGCCAGAGGGGTTTGATGATGGTAGTGGCAGAGTGTGGAAGCTGAAGAAGGCCCTCTATGGGCTGAAGCAGGCCCCTAGGCAATGGTACATGAAGCTGCGCGAAGTGTTGGAGGGGATCGGCTTCACTCCCTCAACGGCCGATCACTCCTTGTTCATGCTTGGCGAGGGGGAGCAGAGGAGTTTCATGGTGGTTTATGTGGATGACATCCTCATTTTCTCACCCTCTTCTGACCTTGTGAAGGAGGTGATGCTGAAGCTTCAAGACAAGTTCAAGTGCAAGGCCCTTGGTGACGTGAGCTTCTACCTTGGGCTCCACATCGAACGAGATGTGGAGAAGCGGTGCATGCGGGTGCATCAACGAAAGTACCTGGAGGCATTGGCTGCCAACTTTGGGCAGAGTGAAGGCCATGTGGCTACACCCTTTCCCTCTGGGTTCAAGTGTGTGAAGGGACCAGAGGAGGAGAGCGTTGGTGAA